GTCAAGACAGATCTCTTCCAACAGGCCTTTCCAGGATAGAAAATCCTGCCCTCAGGCCCCTCCTTTCCTCAGGGGAACCTCATCTGCCTCCCGAAAAATCATTTGCTATATTGCCGCAGTCTTTTGTTGTTTATTGTATACTTGTGAGTGTTTTTTTAACTTTGTTTATTTTAATTTGTAATAGATTTAATAACCTTTTAAGGGGTGGGTGGGATGTAATTTGTTTTTATTATTGTACTGTATTTTTATTGTGAGCCGCCCTGATTGATCTCAAAGGGGCGGGGTATAAATAAATATTATTATTATTATCATTATTATTAGCTTGAAGCCATGCCATGTGGTCATGACATATGCACTCCAGCTGCCTTGGGACCTGGCGCTGCAGTTGGTGGGGTTTCAATGTGGCTTTAGAAAAGGCAGCTTCAAGCCACTTTTTCCTGCCTGTCTGTTTTGCCACAAAGACAAAGAAAAGAAAAATACAATAATCTTTCCTAATGATAAAAATTGTACCTAGGCTGGCAATCGATGCAACTTTAACTCAATCTCATTATGATCCTAAATAGGTAATCTCATGTTCTTCTTGAAGGAAGATGGTTACATTTCTTGTTGATGCAATCTATATTTGGAAAATTACTTAAAACTCAAAACAGCTCCATTCTAAGAGCCTCATTCTTAACAGTCTAAGCCAAAATAAATAAATAAATGATATCACACAGGAAAAATATGCTTATAGGTGCTTTCTTTCCTTTTTAGGAGTTTGAATGTCCTAGTGCAGGAAGATAAATCATAGAATAATAAAATCAAAGAGCTGGAAGAAACCACAAGGGACATTCAGTGCAACCCCATTCAGCCATGTAGAAATACAAAATCAAAACATTCCCAACAGCAGGCCATCCAGCCTCTGTTTAAAAACCTCCAAAAAGGGAGACTCCACCACACTTTACCAGCCCTGGTGGCGCAGTGGTTAAATGCCTGTACTGCAGCCACTCACTCATAGACCACAAGGTTGTGAGTTCAATACCAGCCAGGGCTGAGGCTCGACTCAGGCCTGCATCCTTCCGAGGTCGCTAAAATGAGTACCCAGCTTGTTGGGGGGCAATCAGCTTACAGTTGTAAACCGCTTAGACATCTCATAGCGTGATATGAAGCGGTATATAAATAAGCTGCTTTGCTTTTTGCTTTGCTTTACAACATGATTATATAGGCATTACAGAGATGTAGTGGGATGACTCCCATGACTGGAATATTACAACTGAATAGCATAATCTATTCAAAGATAATAGGTGTGGCATAAAAGGAGGGGGAGTAACATTATATGTCAAATACCAATTCACTTGTACAGAAATCCATGAGAATAATCAGAGCAGACCAGTTGAGAGCATTTGGTTAAAAATAAATAAATAAATACAGAAAGAAAGAAAGAAAAAACAACATAATGGTTTACTACAGCCCACCAAACAAAGACAAAGTGTTGGATGATGTTTTTCAGAAGCAAATCTCAGAAATGTCAAAGATGCAAGAATTAGTAGTTCAAACTGGAAGGAGGTTTTGAGTGGAGTGCCTCAGGCTTCTGTCCTCTGGGGCCATTACTCTTCAATATTTTTAATCAATCACACAGGTCCAAAACAGACACTGCTTTTACTACCCTGGTGCAGTGCCAGAGAATACTGGGAATTGTAGTTTATTGTGGCACCAGAGCTCTCTGACAGAGAAGGCTAAATGTCTTACGAAACTACATTTCTATAATTCCCTAGCATTGAGCCAGGGCAGTTAAAGCGGTCTCAAACTGAATTATTTCTGCAGCATGTTTTGGACCTTAGATGACAGAGTGGAGGGAATCCTTAGCAAGTTTGCAGATGATACAAAACTGGAGATCCTCCAAAGGGTAGAATTTGATGGCTCATGAGACTTCTTCTAGCTCTATGATTTTAAGCCATCCAAACCAGCAAGGGACAATCTGGATCTCATTGAAATTTCTTCTGTTGGGAATTGTGACTTTTTTTTTTCATATGTTGTCACATCTCTTGAAATTTCTATCTTCAGCAATTCCAGCAAGACTGTAGGGCAGTAACATGCTACTGTAGGGCAGTAACAGGCATCCGGGTTCCTTCCAAACCTATTGGACTACAACTTCCATGCTGCGTTAACATTGACGACCCTCACTGCAACTGTCTTTATTTCAGTCTGCATTTAATTAATTTTAATGTGTTGTGCTTCTAATTAAGGATGAATCTGTTATTGCTGATGTTGCTCCTATTTTAATTATTATATCTTATTATTTCTTTTACTGATTTATATGCTGAATGTTACTTTTAAGGGCTTCATTATGTATGTTGTGCTTTTAATTAGCTGTATTTCCTAATGTAGTGAATCCTCTTGCCACCTTCCACCTTAGCACTGACTTTTTAAAGATGGCAGTCCTGGGGTTTGTTGTTGTTGTTATTCCACCACTGCCACCCAAATATGTGTAAAGAACCCACACTAAAAGCTTTAAAAGGATAGTAGTGTGATTTGGTTTGAAAGCATGGGCCAAGTGATATTTAAATGAGAATAAAAGTTTATTCTAGAACAGAATGGAATAAATATAACTTGTATTAAAGCTTGTCACTATAGATTTTCTTGCTTACATGTAAACAACATTTGTTTCCAATTCCCTTTTAATATTTCAGCCACCCAAGCTAGCAATATCCCTCAGGAAATAACACAACAGCAAGTCCCTTCCTTAGAGTTCTGTATGTGTTCCAAGTCCCTCACGTCTGGACTCAACTAACAAAATTTACAGTTCCCCCAGGAACTCCCAGAAATGCATCT